GCAAAATTAGCAGCATGAAGAAAAAATGTAACTGAATTACCAATACCCGCAATGATTCCTGCTGGATGCATAACACAGATTTGTTTTCTATAATAGAAAGAGTTCCAATAAGAAAATAAAAGTTAATTGAAGAAGAAAACAATTATTTATACTTAAAATCCTGATTGAATGCATTTTCATACAGATTAATAAAATGTTCTTCTTGATGAAGTGCAACAACAGTACGAATATGTTCAAGAGCTTGAGTCGCGTGCTATATATATATATATATATTTAAAAAAAAGAAAAAGATCTTATTTATTTATACTTGTCCACCCAATTCAGCAAATGAATGTTTAATATTTTGTTGACCTGCTTTCCCATGTTTTTGTCCTTGAAGTTTTCCAATAATTAACATTAGTGGAATAAAACACATGACGATAATTGTTAATTTCCATCCAGATAAAAATGCAATAATAAGAGCAGTGATTAAAGCACTACATGCTTGTAGAATAATACCAATACGAACACCTGTCATACCCTATAGAGAAAATTACACATTAAATGATTTTTATAAGTCTCATACCTTAAGAGCAGAAGCATCCGATGATAAACGTGTAACAAGAGCACCCACTGAATTTGATTCTTGATCAAAATAATCCATTTCTTGTCGTAATATAGCTGCAAATGTTAGTTTTCGCATACGCATAGTAAATTCTTCTCCTGATTTTCCAAATGCAGCTGTACTAAGAAATTGATTAACTCCACCAATAAAACCAATAATAAATATACATGCTGCATATATTCTTGTTAAACGACTTTGTTTTTCAAGATCTGGATCAGCAAATAGAGTATAAATATCCGCAAACATCAGAGAAAAAAGTGGTGGACTAGCGCCGAAAATCAAAGAACAAATTATACCCATAACAATCCAAGGCCATTCAGGAGAATTTAATTTAAAAACTTGAAATACAAGTGGAGTATTAAAATATTTCTTTTTTTTCTTTAAACAATCATCCGTTGTTACGTCTTCTTCATCATCATCATCTTCATCAATATTTGCATGGAAAATATCAGACAAGACACTTGTTCGTTTTGTTACGACGTGATGTACTAAAAAATCAATAGAATAATTCATTTGAAAAAAATAAGAATATACTATATATATATACCTGATTTTTTTCGAATAAATTCTTTTTCTATTTCATCATCTTCCTCTTGATCACTTATATCATCATCAACATTTTTTTCTTCTTCGTTTTTACTTTGAACTGTTACTAAGTTATAATAAAGACCTTTTTGTTCCATTAAATCATCATGAGTTCCATATTCAATGACTTGTCCATGTTCTAATCCAATAATTAAATCAGCATTTTGAATTGTACTTAAACGATGAGCAATTATTATTGTTGTTCTTCCTTGTTTAGCTTTATCTAATGCATCTTGGACAACTCGTTCACTTGTATTATCTAATGCTGAGGTTGCTTCATCTAGAAGAAGAATTTTTGGATTTGAAATTAATGCACGAGCAATTGCCACTAAATGATCAATATATAACATTAACTTTTCTTTATTTATCAATCTTACCACGTTGTTTCTGACCACCACTTAATTTATCAGCTGAATTTGATTTATAATTCTATATTAATGGAAAAAAAATATTGAAAACAAATGAAAGATAATGATTTACTTCAGGTAATTCCATAATAAAATCATGTGCATTAGCCATTTTAGCTGCAGCTTGAACTTCATCATCAGTTGCATCAATTTTACCAAAACGAATATTATCTTCAATTGATCCAGTAAAAAGAACAGGTTCTTGACTAACAATTCCAATATGTGAACGAAGCCATGCCACATTATATGAGGTGATATCTTTTCCATCGAGTAAAACTCGACCTTCTTCAGGATCATAAAATCGTTGAATTAATTGAATTATAGTACTTTCTATTATAAGAATAAAAATCAAACTTCAAAAAAAAACAAAAAAAAAGCTTACTGCCACTTCCCGATGCTCCAACTAAAGCAACTGTCTGACCGCATGAAATTGTCAATGATAAATTTTGAAGTATCTATCAAATAGAAAAAGAATAATAATTATTTTGTAAAAAAAAATAATATACAGATGATTCTGGTCTTGCTGGATAAGTAAAACTGACATTTTCAAATACAATATCACCAATAAGATCTTTCGGTTGATCGCCTTCATTATTCATTGCATCAATCTTTGTTTGCTATAATAAACAAAATATATATTTTCAAGTATTCAAATTCTATTAATTTACTCGATCGATAATATCAAGTACATAACTTCCGCTAGCTAAAGCTTCGGCAAAACTTTGAAAATTTGGAACCAGTTGTGATGTACTAAATGTTGCAATCTAAAAAAAGAGATCAATAACAAATATATTTCAATAATATTTTACCATGCATGCGACAAAAACCTAGAATTACATAATATTAAATCATAGAATAATTATCTATAAAAATGGCTTACTACTAAAACTGTTCCAGCTGTATAATTTGTACATTCTGTTCGAACAAGTTGTGGGCCATACCTTAAATTGTATATTTAAAAGAGACCGAAAAAAAAATTTTTATTACCAAAATGTTATTGAAAATGCAGTAAAAAGAAATGTTTGAAATATACATTGAGATAATCCAACAAAAAATTCTTTTTTAATTCCAATTTGTTTTGCTAATATTAAATTTTCAGAAAATCTAAATATAATTAATTGTATTTATA